TTCAAGGGGAGCCTAAACCACCATCTAAGCAACATCTGAAACAGGCTCTCACAATGGTGTCTAATCGTCTGTATTGGACAGCTTGCTTATATTGGCATTTGCTGTTGCCACTTTTTTCTTGATTTTCATGAATAACATATCCACCCAGATGCCAGCAAAGGAACAGGCCTCTCCAATTTAAGGATTACAGGCTCCCAGCTGGAAAAAAAATAATAATGATATAATTGTTTTTTTACTTGTCTCGTTCTGGAAGCTGTACTTTGGTTTTTCCTGGCATGCACACCCCACTACTCCCTCAATGTCTACCCTAGAGAAGGTGGTTTACTACTATAGCAGCATAAATTTCAGTGAGAATCCCTGGGCTCTCATATATCAGGCCATCTCAAAATCAAAGCCAGCAATAATTACGTGCTTGTCTCAGCTACCAGACAGCAGTGTCTTTTCCTAGACAGCAGCAATAAAAGTGCTTTTGTAGAACTGTGATGTGTACTGTAAGTAACTTTTAAATGAAACACCACTCAGTAGATGTTTTAATTCTCTTCAGCACTTGCTAGGAGTCAGCACCCTGTTTATAAGACTACTTTCAGTTTAGATATGACAGTTTCAGTCATGACTGTGGACACCTGTCAGGTTCACTCTCAGCAGTAGGTTTCCTTCCTGTTATAAAATGGGACTTCATCAGTACTACCCTATTTATGATGATAGCCTACCTAGAAATCACATAGAAGCTTCACAGCATTTGCCATAGACCCTGGGTGGATTTGTCAGATCAGGTGTTTTGTTCTGCTAATCCAAGGCCTGCTGTCTTTGGCTTCAGGATAGAAAAGTGCCCTTGTTCTTCCTTTGCCACAGTGCAAAGCCCTCATCAGTAAAGCCCTACTCATTCCAGCCAAGGTGATCGTAGTTGAAAAAGGCATGAAAAACTCTAGCCCAGTCTCTGTTTCTATTTAGGCTTTGAAATTCTTGAACTGAGCTAACTTTGCTTCATTCCTTGAAATAATGTTGATTATATGGAAGGTTGTGAAACCATTCATGACTGCGTCCATCAAGGACCAGATTTGTGTAAAGCTAACTTGAAAGACACTAAACAGACATGATTCTCAATACACTGAAACATCATTTAAAGGCAGCTTCGCAAGTTATATCATTGCAAGGAGGTAGTCTTTGACAGAAATTTCTAAGAGCACAAGAAGATAAGAACATACAAATGATTCCATTGGGCCAATCTTGGTCATCTGGTAATTTAAAAACTAATTGAAACCAAAATTTTGTATGACCATTTCTATAGTGGAATCAGCTTTCTACAGTTGAAACACACAAAATAAAATATTAAAATGTGGCCAAGACCTATCAGAAAATTCTTGGATGACATTATCCCCTTGAGTGAATCTCGACAAGCTGTAGAAGAGCAGCTGACGGCACAGGGAAGTGGTTATACTTGGTTCTGGAAAAAAATATTTCACATAAAATAATCATGCATTAGAGCAGATGTGATTTGACAGAAGAATGTAAAATTGTATGACAGGCTGACAAAGCCAATGGAGATCTTTACTGTAAATTTAGCATAGGGACCTGTTTTAGGTGGACCAAATGGAAATGAAGTGCAGCTAAATTCAGGACCAAGAGTAGGAAACAAATATTTACACACAGAATTCTAAGTGTGGGGAACAAACTGGTGAATCATAATGTGGGATAATTCAACAGGAGTTTTGATGAGACTCCCAGATCATTAATATTGACAGCCAGATAAGCACATTAGGCCAAACAACAACAACACATTTTCTTACACACACAAGAAATATCTGTTGTCAAATTTTTTGCAACTTACTTTTTACCAGACCCGTATTTCCTAAGTATGGAGGGTGCAGCAATCCTAACAAGCCTTATAATCACCGAGACAGATCAAGATCTTTCCTTTACCTGCCAAAGTTGACACTATTAATTTCACAACGTGGATGAGGGGTGGACTTTGGAGGACGTGGTTATATTGCTGCGGTCCTTATACCTTAATTGACATTCTGAGCACATGAACTTAAACTGCTCTCCCACGGACTTCTGAAGTCAAGATTAACACATGGTCCTAATCTTTCCAAAATAAACACCTTCCAGTGAGACCTGTAACATCTATTTATCTCAAGCCCTAAACACGTTCCAACCTTTCTTCTCTCTCTATCTCACTATCATTTTGACCTTTACAGAGGATTCATGTGATGGGATTTAAGCATCTGCATTTAATAAAAAAATAATGAAAAACATTTGTAAAAATATGAAAAATGAATTACAGTTATCTAAGATCTCTAATTCTTTGCCAGCTAACTCTCTCTGGTTTGTCTGGTCTATCAAAGTGGAAAGCAGGGACCTGACAACACCATGTTGAGGTGTTATCGATGGCTGTGTGTTGAGTGAGGTTCCCTTGCCTTTCCAGCAAGGAATCTATGCCTGACTCCTTAACTCTGTCTCTGCTGAACATCCAAAGTTCCAGCTCCTGTGTTCACTCACTTCACCACAACTGCTCAATTTCTCTAGGGCCCTTGTCCATACTTTCATTTCAAAAACATCCTAGACCTGCAAATTCATAAGTCACAAGGGGTCCTTGATAGAGTGCACATTTAGTTCATAGATTTATTTTGCCTTCAGTGGGACAATAGAGTGAACAACACAATCTCCTTGCGCTATGACCTCTGGCTTTTTTTCCAGAGAAGAGATATTGAACCTCTTCTCATTTCCTGCAGCAGGATTCACAATCGCCTGCTTCTGGATATTTACAGAATGTCAGCGTGGATGTCTCAATTCCACATTTGGGCCAATTTTTTATGGCAGATTTGTTTTTAACTAAACGTTTAGCTAATGAAAAATGAAATACTTTTGTGGCTTCCCATTCCATCAAAGGGGGAAAAAGAAGAGTCCAGGCGTATCTCGCATGCAAAACTGGAACATCAGCTTGTTAGGCATCAGCATTTCCACTCTGTGAGCTCAACTGGAACTTGTATTGTCAACCAAATCCCTCAGAATCCCTGTCTAGAGCACTTCCACATGCTTATAGAAATGGAAATGTACAGGCTATGCTGTTATTTATCTAGAATCCTGTGATAGAGGTGTTAACCCCACTGTCCTGGTTGTCCCTAAACATGTGACCTGTCTAAAGTTTCCCCTTAATCCAGCTGATGAAAACATTTCTCACTTCCCAACCTAATCTGCTGTAAAATGAGGCTGTTATTGCACAATGGCTGCCATCAACTGACAATGACATGTCAGCCAGGAGGGTGCTGCACTCCAATGGAGGAAGAAGTAAATCTGTCCCAATATGTAAAGCACTTTGAGATCCTTTGGGATGCTTGATACTAAAGATGTTACATAAGCACAATTCATTATTCTTTCAGTTCACCCCTCCTGGTACAGGCCCGATCCCACCCCCCAACCAAACAACCACACACACACTGTCGTCAGGCCAGTTACTCACCTTGCAAAACACAACAACACAGGACACAACAATGCCGCAAGACAATAGCCAAAACAAATACAACTGTGGGGCTTACAAATATTTCACTTGTGTATTCCTTGAGCTATGTATGCAAAACAAACCACAGGCAGGCAGCCAGTCTACCACAAGTCCAGCAGACAACATTATTTCGCCAGCTGATAGCAACATCGATGGAAAATAAATTCAAAACAGAGAAGGTATTGTAACGCTTACGGCCACCATTGAGTGTGAAAGCCGGCTTACCAGAGCGGTGACGTCACCGCCCTTCCCTGTGAATATTCCCCCCAGGCTGAGGGGAGATCTCCCTTTAGCTCAACAGGCTGGGTCCCTGTTGAGTGACGCCAGAGGCCCGGGATCAAGTCCCCGACCTGATGTGGCAGCAGCAAGGGCACCCACGTGAATCCTGTAGCGTTACAGTATTTTCAAACTTAAACAGAGTCATTTTGAATACTAATATCCTAATTCTCCTCCAGGATCTTTTCATGTTTATAGAGAACACTACATCTTCCATTGATATTAGCATTACCTTTGGTTACATACCTCTCTAATGTTTCCTAACATTTTTCAATGAGAACTTTAACTTTTCACACCATACCACTCTGATTTTGCAGGTGGCAAATGGCAAACTACCAGTACATTTCATGAATGCCATGAAGTGGGCAGTTTCCCCTCTCGGAAAAATACAGTCCAATGTAATTTACTGCATCTCAAGAGCACGAAAGATGCTTTTGACTGTAACCCTTAGAATACAAATTCATTTTCCATAACTGTAAATCATAATACAAAAACAGAAGCCCTAAAATATATCAAGCAGCTTAATTCACCAGATGCTGTGATGTGGACCTACATATGGAAGAAATTCACCATAAAGCATATATGGACATGATTTCAGTATTTCATATATTAACAATTAGAATTTGGGCAGTAGCGCAGTGGTTAGGTTTACTGCCTCACAGCACTGGGGCCCTGGGTTCAATTCCAGACCTGGGGTGTGTGGAGATTGTATCGTCTCATCTATCTTCTCTGGTTTCCTCCCATGGTCCAAAAAATACTTATAAGTTCATTTGCTTCTGAGAAAATTGGCCCTGATGTGAGTGTGCATGTATTTGTGTTTGTGGCTGTGGGTGCCCTGTGATGGACTGGTGTTCCGTCCAGGTTGCACTCCCTTGAGTCTGCTGCTTATGGCAAAGGACTTCGGCTACCCCACAACTAGGAACTGGAATAGGGATGGATGTGGGCAGGACACTTTCAAAAACCCATTCAAACTCAGCCAACATGACTGGGTAATGGGAGGAAATTGGAACACCTAGAGAAAACCTATGTGACATTTGGGGAAAAGAGGTGCACTCCAGGCAGAAGGAACCTCACTTTGGAATCAAACCCAGGAGCTAAGAGCTGCTGACTTCCACACGACTCCGCCATCTATATTTGAGTGCTTAAACTTGTTTTTATTATTCTTTATTACAATAAAAAGGAACCAAATTCATCAGAATCATTTACCTATTAAAAAAAAGAACCATAAGTTTTAAACTTTCTTTATTATCAAATTATACACAATAATAGGACACTCAACTGGCTGTATAAAAACGATCCGACCAAAAATGGACAGAACACTGACACATTTCTGAAAAACACTTTTACAGTTAAAAAGCCAAAGCAAAAAAAAAAAGGAGAATACTTAATATATTTACACTAGAAGATATACTGCAGCTGTACATACAGAACGAAAAATGAAATGATTGCTGGCAAGATTTAGCCTATAGTTTTAACGGAGTACAATGACAGGTCTGAGGTAGCCAAAAAGGACAAGCAAGTAGCAAATTCTAAATACAATCTAGACTGGGGTGTTCTGTCAGCATGGGTAAAAACAAGGAATCTTTAGGGGAAAGGCAGGAGTTTTTACTTCATCCTAACGGGATTCAGCTAATCAACACATTCGGGTGCTCACTACATTTTAAAACATTTTTATAAAAGAATCGTTAAGGCCACGTTTGTTTTTTTTCAGCATGAAAATCCATCTGCTGAACTGTGAAATGAGTCAAACAGGTGAGAAAAGGTATAAGACTGCTACCACCTACTGACCATGTCTTGTTTACAGCTACGTGCTTCACGTCCCGGGTAAGTGTTCTATTAGAAAAAATACATTCTGAGTGGTTTTAACAGTGATCCATGCATCTGTTTCTTTTACAAAGTGCATCCAGGTGCATGAACTGTTATTTAATTTTTTTCATAAAAAAGGCACTTGGCAGACAAATCCTATCCAGAATATGAGCTACTACTGTAACAAAATGATAAACAAAATGATAAACATGCATTGACCCTTGATTGTTTCAGATGCTGATCCACTGACATTAGGATGTGAAATTTTTATGTTAACATCTGGATCAAAGCCAGAGGTGTATGAATAACAGCTATTTCATAAGGCACAATTGTGATATGTCACACTGATTTTGTAATGGTAACTGGAAAAACATGCACAAGGCAAAGACTAGCCTCGTATATGAAATTATAATATATTCTGTCTATTTCTGTTTAATCAACATACTGATACCAGTTTCTATCACTTTATAATTCCCTTTTCTAACTGTATGGTTTATGCACAGGTGGCAAATTTCACAAGATAAAGAAAATCTGACCTTTACACATATAGATCATATTTCTGTACCTTTATCGGAGCTTCAAGTGATATCATGTGTTATTGGCACACCAAGTCATATTAGATTCCAGGTCTGCTCATAATAAAACTGTAAACAATGAAAGATCCTATTCATCCCGGCTTGTTAGGAGTCCCGGCTTTCAGCAAATCAATAGCTTGAACAGTAAGCCTTGAAGAGCAAATAGAAAAGCTAGGATATATAGTCGGTAATAATGTGACTATGTTTCTGATCTCAATCCAAAAAAGCACCAACAATCAGTGGAAAAAAAAATACAAATGCTAAAAAGATATAACTGTTTCTGATCCACAAACGGAAACACTGTACAAAGATTAAACACAATATACATTCCTGTGTATGGAGAGCAATAGGTTGTTTCTGCATTTTTAAAATAATATAAGTAATATAACATTTTTAACTTTAAACTATACTCTGAGACAGATATAACCAGCACTGCTGTTCAATTTATCATATAATATTATACAGCATTCTGCATTGTTGCTCACATATTCAGTTTAAAGAAATCAACAACTGGTAACAATGCACTTGAGAAATGAATGCCCCGTTCTTTCACGGTCTTTGTTTGTACTTGTTCTACAGGATTTTAGAACACTCTTTGTGTCTGTGAGAGGCGGAGGAGGTTCATTTTGACACTCGTCTTTCTGTAGAGCAGGTGAGAAGGTTCTGTGAGGTTGCCATGGTGCAAGCGAGGGGCACTTCTTGTCCCTTTTCACCACAAGCAGTGAGCCCGTGTATTCATAAACCGAGCCAGAGCTGAGGCCTGGACCAAATGGAGGCTTACTCTCTCACCGCAAAGAGGCGGAAGGACTTCCCTTCTGGATTTTTCTTACTGTAAAACAAAAAAAGAGTGAGATAGGGCTCGTTCATCAACGCTTGGCTATATCCATAATCAATACACTCTTGTAAATGAACCGAGGTATCGTCAGGTCACAGAAATGTTAAAACCTAGATGATTTCTTTGTCCTTCTGCACTTTCTATATGTTTTACTGTATGGCAAACCTTAAAATGCTTGTCTTTGGGGCTCCTAAGTCCTTTCCTTAGAAAAGGAATAATTTCAGACCTCAGATCCTCATAGAACATAAAGAAAGACAACAGGACATATTAAATTGTTTATACTTGCTGTCACTGTACATACAAGATAGATTCCAAGGAAAGACACTATCTTATTTATGGCTTCTGCCTTGCATTTGACACAACCCTCAAAAAGCTGTCTTTGTTAAAGAAGCTTAATCAACAGCTTATTGCTGTTTCATCACATGATTTTGGAGAGCCTGAACAAACAAGGTAAAAGTGAACCTACTAAGAAGCACATTAGCAAGATAGCATGGGTTCAAGTCTGTCCATCACAACTCTAGCACAAGACTAACACATACAAACCAGCTAGTTTATTATCAGGTGGCAGATTGCAAAATTGTGCAGTGCAAATTGTGAGTACAACTTTCTGACGCATTATACAAACCCTGGTGACAAGTTGGTGAAGCTATTTGTCTGGGGTGGTTAATGCTGTGCAGTGCAGATAACTCGACATGAAGGATCTTAGAAGCCTTCAATTCTAATAATGCATCCTCATACAAACTAAAACATATGTCCTCTTTCTCTGCGTGCTGGCTCTAGGTACACAGGAGGGCAGCTCATAGCATACACTGACTCATGGCAGGAATATTTCCAACTGTCTAGACAAGAATGTGCATGTGACCTTACAGTATGTAGGTCACAGCACAAATATAGGGAAAAGGTAATTTCCATTTATTTTACAATGCATCTTATATCAAGAGACAATTCATGAAATGAACATCAGGCCTGCATAGCCGATTTGTTTGGATTCAGACAAAAATTAAAACTGCCCTCTCAGAAAAAGCATAAACAAAGTAAAGTAGTTTGTTTTTATGTGTTCACAAATGAGTCAAAGAAATGGAATCAGAATATCAACAGTACTTCAACCCAACAAAAACTCTACTGTTTTCAATCAGTAGTTCGTTATGCAAGCTCTCATCTTTTTTCATAGTTAATTTGCAATGCCTGTAGATACAGTACATGTACACAATTACTGCTTGTGAAAAGTACATCACAACACATTTTTCTTGAGCTTCCCAGTGACTATGGTAAAAATTGTCAGAATTGATTTATGTATCATTGAAAATAAATTTTTACGCAACTGATGTCTCTTCAAAGTGTTTAATAGTACCTTTTGTTCCTCATGAAAGGCTCAGGAAAAGCTTACAAAACTAATGTGGTGTTATTTTATCAAAAACTAAAATAAAAGGATCTAATAGTTTACATGTATCCATAGTTGATGGGCATTTACCCATCTTACAATTTTGAATTGCTTTTACTTGAATTGACTAGGTTTTCAGGTAAGAAAAACAATCATTACCTCTCTGACTGGATTCCATTCTTAAGAGTTCCCACATAATTCTTCTTTTTATCTGCTGTCACGATGTCCACATAGCCTCCAGTCATAGCTTCGATCACCCCAGCATGGATAGCTGCCCGACAAATACTTGAGCTCTAAGGGCAAGGGAGACAGAGGTACTCCTCTTTAACACTCTGCACTTTATTTCATGTATAAACACATTTCTAAAAAACAGGCATAGAGCAGGTTGATCAGGAATTCAGTAGCATCTTAATGATCGATAGATATTTTTACAGAGTAACAAAAAGGACAACAGCTAAATCATTTTTACATTCCAGCTATCTATACACAGATATACACAGACAACATCTCAAGGGATGGTTTCTGGCAGAAGGAACTGAGGAATATGATTGTTTACTGAAAAGTGGAAGTAGTCTTCAAAATCATTTTCCATTGGAAGAAGATAATTTCATTAACCAGTTCCATCTGTCTGCTAAATTCCTTTCTAATAAACCTGTCCCAATTTTGGGTGCGATGTGAAAGATTTGTTTTTAACTTGTCACAGATGTTCAGTGCACTGCGTTTATTTCCAGGTTTAATGCAATTAAGAGTGCCTACAGCTATTGTTTACGATTGTGTCATTTAGGAGACTGCAAATCTTTGTAAAATGTTAAAAACAAAAGTGTCACTGACCCAAAATACAAAGCAGACCCTTGGAATGGAACCGGCTGTTTAAAAAATGTATACAAATCAGCTTTGCGTACTGTTTAAGTTTTCCTCACATCTGTTTTCCAGCATTAAGATCACACTGTGACCTTGCTGGTGACACAGGCCTTAAGGAAACCATGGGGTCTTTTTTTTGCATGGGACACTCAGATGTTTATCAAGGCCTCCCAGATCCACTTTTCCATGCCTGGGGGCCTTATAAAGGCTTCCTCTGTCAACTCTCCTCTGCTCATCCTCAGCCTCTCCACAGCCCACATCAACTTTAAGAGTTGCAGCAAGACTAGAATGCTCCTGTCAGCCATCTGCTGCAGCCTGTCTTTCGACACTGCCTATCCCAAAGCCCACAAATTCGGTAAAACTCAACATATTACAAAGTCATTCCAGTTTTTCTTCATAGTGATTTAGAAAAGATGGTTTATAAATAAGCACTTGGTATATTGCTGGAATCTGTCCTAACTCCATTCCTGAACAATAGCAGTAATTAAGTGCTGTTACATGCCTCCTGGGAGCTTCTGATGTCTTGCCAGCTTGGAAGGGGCTGTGTTTTTCCAAAGGAATGCTTAAACCCTGAACACTATGGTTCACTTAAGTACGGCAAGATTCACAACAATCTACGACCCCAGGAACTCTCTTGTTTTGCTACAGATGTACATTCAAGTCTTTGGGGATGTCCTGTGATTTTTATTTCTTTTTCATTCAAAATAACTACACATTACTCTACCTACAGCTGATCCTGAGCATGTAATAGTATCTGAAATATTAACTCTCATGAGAAACTGGAAACCCACAAAACACTGTTGGCCAACTATGAGTCAAACTCATGACTCCTTACAAGGAGAAACAGCTGTAAACAGTAAATGCCATAAGGACACTTAGTAAAGTCCACAATGTCCCCTGCTCACTAATGTGTACACAAATCAGTCTAGCGATATGTTGTGCCTGTCACAGAATAAAGCCTCCAGAAGATTACAATAAAGCACCATGGCTTGACAATATTTTGTGATACAAATTCCCAAAATATTTTAAACATCAGTGCAGCACATCTCCCTTTTCTACACACTAGTCATCACAGATATAAAACTCCTATGGCTGGTTGCCTTGCTCGTATTGCACTTATACTCACATCCGAGTAAATATTGGTGCCAATCACTGGAGCCCAGTATGAAGGTTCATCCTTGCAGGTTGCTGGGCAGTACACTCTAGAAAAAAAGATCAATGATAATCAGAAATAACACCAAAAATGTACACTCCTACGCTGAAAACTCTGAAAGAATCAAGTGAAAACTCTGAAAGAATCAAGTGAAGAATGATCTGCGCTCAACTGCCTAGACGAGGAGACATAAGCACAGAATAGACCAAATCTGCACTACTGCATGCAGAGTGTAAACTCTGTACTTGATGGCAGATATGATTCTCCTTTGGGGAAAATCCTGAAAAATAAAAAGCTGCCATGGTTTTCTGGATTTGTCATTTATGATTAGAGGCTCATGTACAGGTCATTTAATCTGTGCCAAGGCATACTTCACAGACATGAAAAGATAATCCAGAATCCCACTTACTAGCATTTTGACTCCGTCTCAATCTTTAATACAAATTTTCAACGGGTAAAATCCCTTTTTTAAAACGGAAAAAACTTTCTTTAAGAGTTCCTCTGCCAATATTAGAAGACTCAGGTAAGGAAGGTCAGGCTTGATGCTTGAGAAAAATTTAAACGGAAGTTAGTGTGCTTACGACAGAGTTAATTATAATTTATTCACTCCATTGATCCAAAACAGAGTGACAGGGGAACCAGAGCCTGTCCAGGCAAGCAATAAATCCTGGACAGAATGCCATTCAAACACTGCCAGTCAAACAGACACAAACACAGACTCACACCAGGGCCAATTAATCTACCAGTATCGTTTGGACTGTAGGAGGAAACCCACGTACACATGGGGGAGAGCATACAAACTGCACATACTGTAGACAGCACCCAGATAATGAACCCAGGGCCCCAGAGCTGTGAGGCAATGCTAACCACTGTGCGGCCATTATAACTTAATCTACAATGCAAATTCCTAACATTTAAATGAGTAAATTGATGGAGCAACTCCATTAAAAAGTTATTCAACTCTTAAAACAGGTTTGCTATAGAGTCTCAGCTTGAATGGTAAAGTATGTCAGACACTCACCGTGGGCAGTGAGAAACTGGCCCTTCAAAAGGACATAGTTCTGCCACAGTTGCATAGCAGTCCACTGTCTTCTCTGTAGTTAAAGGACAAAGACAGGCCACGTCATATATTGAAGATAACCATCCCCAGAAACAATCATGTATAAACCATTGGAGGTTCTGTATTTAAAGTAAGACAAGTGTTGCATGCAGGTAGCAAAAATAAACTACAAATAAAAAATGGGACAACCTTGGCTTGAAGAGGCTACCTATGAAAATGGCTTGGGAGTTTGTTTCGAACATGAAAATGATCTATCAACATAATGTAGGAAATGACAAAAAAGGCCAACAAAACATTAGGATCTGTAGCTATGCGTAGGATTTAAACCAAGGGATATTGCAATCATAGAATGCACAAAGTCAGACTTCATTAAAAAAAACTACAATGAAGGAAAGAAGGTGCTCCCTTCTTTCGAGAACAGCCTACACGTCTTCCTCAGGTCAATTAGCCAATATAAACCCAATGGACTAGGTGGAGTGAAGAGAGGTCATTCAGGAAATGAGATATTTCCTAACTTTATGTTTTTATCTCAATACAGACCTTAAACTGTAAGGATAATAAAACCAGATAAAAGATACACCGTAGACTTTTAGTTCCATAATCTTACCAATTAGAATTTCTCCCCCCCCCCGAATGTCTCAAAGAGTCTTTTTACATGGCGGTCAAGGCTGAAATTATGTTTTTTCCATCCGTTCAAAGTGCAAAACAGTGTACAGATCTTGGTCAATAAGGCATGTAATAAGGCACCTTTTGTTTCAGAAATGTTTGTCTCATTATTCTCCACACAGCTTTGCCAGCATTTCACATGTACTCCCACCAGCCAGTTCAAACACACATCTTATTTATGCAATAAAATACAAACGTTTCCATACCTTCAACTTTTGAGACAATGAATGCATTTGAGGCTTTATATTTACTGTAAAGAAAAAGAATGAATGCGTTACAAATGTAGTGCTTTTACACAAGCTTTATAGACCCACTTAACTACATTCCACGATTGATCAAAATCAGACATAAAAACCTTTGCTCAAAAGAAGGTACAACAGGAAGACAGATGTTGTCTTTCTAGGCACACAGGACTCTTTCAATACTGTTCATTTTCAGGAAACGGACAGAAAGACACACGCAGTTGACGGTAGGCACGGGTCTCTACCTGAAAGACTCAATTCCATTCCTCGTGGATTTGACGAAGAAGGGCATCCTGCTTTTCCGAGTTATATCTATCAAACCTCCATTGTTATCAATCGCTCCATAATGCAATGCAGCCCGGCAGATACTGGATTGCTGAAAGAAGAACAGCCATTAAAACTTACTTTCTGGTCATGGATGTACTGTATGAGTTACACAAACTTTAAAAGAGGTTATTTCTCGTCAACCAATGTACCACAACAATGACTAAACCACACACGATCACGTCTGACTTCTGACTTACCGACACATAAGAGCTGCAAGAGAATTAAGTACACTTGCAAAGGTGTGAAATCATAGAGTTGATAGCTTACCACATCATAAAAGAGGGTCCCCCACACCTTGCCTTTAGAGTTCTTGCAGTTTGCAGGACAGACATACCTACAGGAAAAACACTGCTATCAGCACAAAGTATAATGCTTACTTATGTAATGGAAAGTAGACAGATAAATAACAATTGGTTATCCATTCACATCTCAACAAACAGGACCGAGGAGTTGAGCTGACGTTTAGTTTAGGCAACTGGAAAACAGACTACCTGTTACAGGTTGCTCCTTTGCATTTATCACGCATCTTCGTCTCACACTTGATATCCTGGGCTGAAATGTAAAATGTGGAATTACATGAGCGTCACATTAACAGTGATACCTTTGCTGTTCACCATGCCCTTCAGACAACAACCTGCAGCTCTGTACGGCGTATCTTCAGCATACCATTGAAAACTATCTGCCTCTGTATTTTTCCTTCTTCCTAATGAGGGTCAAGCTAAACGTCTAAAACAATTAGCAAGTGAAAAGACCAGCATGCACTTCCCTTCTCCACAGCTGTGTTGTCTAATTCATGCTTTACACATTCATTTCCTCTTTTTGCATGTCAACATGACAGCCCTCTCTCTAAGGTAGCCCCCAATTGTTTCCTCATTGACTACTTTTAACCTGGCGTTTTGCCTGCCCTGAAATATGGACCCCTGGGCCTAGTCTCACCCATATAGGTCCTGCCCGTGTCCTTGGAACCCGGCTTGGTGGGAGCGGGGCGGGTGCGAGGTCGTGCCCAGGCAGGGATGTCCTCCGGGACCTGGGGTTTCTCCACTTCGTTCATGTCCTCTGTCTCAGGGCGCTGGGGCTCAGGGGTGTCTGCTGTGAAGAGGAGGTGGGGCACAGGACCTCGTCATCAGAGGTATAATGATACTGAGGTGATCTGCCGGTCAATCACCCTTCTGAGCTATAATATTATGACACCGGAGCACTGGTGGCGTATTGTTCAAACAAACGAATTGCAATTCTACTAACATTCGCAGCTTCGCATAACATTGCCCTGCAGAGCAGGGGACACACAAAAAAAGAGGTGCATACCTTTGTAGCAGAGGTTTTCCTTGCAGCCCCCTCCATAACTTGGGGGACAGTGGGAGCACGGCCTGCCATGTTGGTAGGGGGCCTCACCAATCCAATTACCCCTGGGACACAGACACAGGGAGAACACAGGGGACAGAATGACTTGCTATTATGGAGGACTACACAAGGACAGTTCTCTGCTAAGCACTTTATTTACATTTCCATTATTTCCAATTTGGGGTGTGACCACAAAATCTCATCGGAGTGTTACTAAACACTTGTAGGAAATCCTACAATGACCACATGAATTGTTGTTTATCAAACAAATCTATATATAAACTGCGCATATGCAGAATATACCACACATTATGGAGAAACAAAAGCAAACTGTGTCTTACTTTGGCGAATAATTACAGACGAGGTACACGGCGTTCTCCCAGATCTCTCCCCAAACGTTCATCCTCCCACACACGTGGACAGCACAGCCCACTTTGTTGGTTGTGGCCCAGACAATCTGGTAGCAAGCCAGAAAATGAAACTCAATAAAACCAGTTTCAATCACTTGTAATTACAGTAAAGCCAAGCCTAGGGAAATCACAATGATCTATTCACCTAGGTAGGTTCTGTAGTTTAAAACAGTAACAAAAGCAATGTATCATGGAGCATTTTATGGAGAAGCCAGTCTGAGATTCAAAAAGTAGATCTTAAAAGAGACCTTTAGTTTAAAAAAAGCCTGATGAATCTGGCTTGAGTTCTTTCCTATTGTTATTTTAGCTGTTAAGCGGTACAGAAAAAAAAGAAAAGATTCCCAAACTGTCTTGCCTGTTTAACTGTATAGTCTATTTTGTGTCCTCACCCTAGAGCACTGTGGCACTGACTCCAGGTCACAGGACCAATATAAACAGCTGACGAAATCAGGCTGGAAAGGACTATTATTTATTTGAAAATGGTTTTCCTTTTTCCATATTTTCTTTCAAATGCCTTTGCCAATTTCCACAGTGCCTGGAACCAGCAGCAGGTGTTGTTGTAAAATCAAAAGACCCTGTTCTACATCGTCATCGTGGAATGGAGAGCCATCCGAAAGAAACAATGCCTGTAATCTTCAGGTCTGAGAGTAGATTACGAGCTAAAACATTCTTGCAGCATAACATTGTGTACTCCAAGTCGAGAGTTGAGGTGGGGGGGGAGAAGGAGGAAACTTTCAAGTTATCGAGCAGACAACTCCACTTAATCCTCAAAGGCAAGCCAGCTGTAGGACACAGGAGGCTGCAAAACATTCCTCCTCTTTGCTGGTAGATATTCCCGAGTTGACTTGCTTGCTGGGGAAGCAGCTACCGTGCGCAAATGATTTAATCAGACTGACTACAGCCATTGGGGACCAAAGTGGAAACAACCCTTGAATGACTTTCTCAATTCAATTACAGAGGCTGCCATTCATAAAAGTCCACTGAGACGGCTTGGCTGTGTTAAAGGGATAAGCCTTCTGTGAAGTTTTCCATTGCTTTTTTCGGAGATGCAGTTCTAAACACACAGCCAGTCCTGGTTTAAATGTTAATTATTAAAAACTTCTATTCTTCATATTCTAGTGAATCTCCAATTCTGACATCCTGTGTGTGTTGGACCTCTGATATATTTCTATAGGTAAAACAGCACACTAGGGAGCAGCCGACACAGATAATGCCTATAAGCCCACACAAAAAAAAATACATTTTGGAAACTGCCATGCAGTTTCAACCTTTCCGTCCATCTAGAATATTTCTGTTATAAACTTCTCAAAGCTTTGCTCTCGTCGACTCAGTTCCTGCTCATTCCATGAGCTTTGCTCTAAAAAAAAAGTGACATGGAAAAGATAAATGAATTGGGCTGGAATTAAATGGAAATTATTTGGCTGAAAGTTACTGCCACAGATGTCCAGTTTTTCAGATTGCATTTGGAGTCATTTCCTGTGAGCCTGTTGGATGCAGCTGCTTCTCTGGCGGACCCAAGTTCTGAATATTACGCCTGACTGTGGTGCTCAGAATAAGATTCTACAGTTCATGACCGGGCCAGGTGAAACACAATAGGACCCCAAAACACACACAAAAAAAGGAAGAATGTTAGACTGACAGGCCAACAGAGTAAAGCCTAAATGTGTAATCTTTACATGGAAATTAAAATCAAAGAGAGAAACAAAAAGTGTCTGCGTGTTTGTTTTCAGGAGGTCAGAGTTGGCTATATACATGTGTATCTGCAAAGGAATCCAGGTCACATTCAAATGACCTACAGGATGTGGAACGATTTCCAGATGTCAATGACCTGGTTTCAGAATGTAGTGAAACTGAGCAATTCCAGAAACCCCTCTAAGCCACAGTTTGAGGTCTGAGGCAAGGAGAAATGGGTTATTACAGGGGAAAGCACAGTCTTAATACTAATGTGTTGCTTACAATGTAAGCTTGGATATTTTCAGGAGTCCTTTCATGATGGTATTGTGAGATTCAAGGGGAAGAAAAACGTTCTGTGGTACACTGTTTTCTGCTCGTCCACATTTAAAACACACTGAGGGCTTGCATCTATAGAACATTTGGAGATCCTCCATTTAGCTAGCATCCATAGAGTAATGGGAGGTTTCTTCTGAAACCATTTAAAAAATGACCGAAGTCACAAATATCTTCTGTCCCAAACGCTGTCAAGTATTACTACAAAAATAGCTGCTTTGGTGAACTTTAAATCCACAAAGCCTCCTCCTTCAGAGAAAACACACATTTCCAAGAAACAGCACAGGGAGATTGTGTGTCCAAACCACAGGAGGCTCCATCCTATGCAGGTACTGTATGTTCGGCTAGTGAGAGGCTATGAATACAGCTGAACAACAGATTTGGTCATTTGCAAATCAATAAAAAGAAAAGCCTAAAAGCCAAATGTTGTTTTCTGTACGGTAGAAATGTCAATTTTAAGTTTGAAAGGAAAACCTAAAGTATTGCCTTTGATTTTCTATGGAAGTTGGTAGAAAACAAGGACAAACCACGCCAATCCAAATCATACTCCTCATTTTGTTTTAAAAAGATCATTTTGTGAGAAGTAAACAGATGAAACCAGTTCACGGCAGTAAGAGGAGCAAGGGGGAGGCAAGGTGCTGCAGTGGTCAGCTTTGGGTTGAGCTCTGGACCTGGGAGCTCTCTGCGTTGAACTTGTCTGTTCTCCCCATGTTTGCGTGGGTTTCCTCCCACAGTCCAAAAACACACTGCTAGGTTAACTGGCTTCTGAGACACGTGGCCGTAGTGCGAGTGTGCGCCTGTCTGCGATGTAACTGGCTGCCCCGTGACCCTAAATTTGGAAGCAGCAACAAGAAAACGGATGGATGGGAGAGGGAGAAAGCAATCATGACCACGTCTGTGTCCTCAGCTGTGGCTGTCGGCGGCTCCTCACCTGTGTGTAGTGTGTGCACATGGGCCCTGAACAGCGCTCAGGGCACCAGGGGTTGCACTCGTCAGGGTAGGGGTAGGTGTAGTCCTTCACCTCATCGTACCAGGCCTGGACGTGATACGCAGGCGAACGGTACCTGAAGCCGAGCATAGCACATGCAGGTCAGGGGCAACATCACAGCATACTGTCAAGGCCTGCATCACAGCCTGCCATAGCAGTATCATACATAAACAGACATCTCAGGCTGCTTAATAAGTATTTATAGAACAGCATTTTAATTGACTTAGCTTTAACCATGTTTGATTTACTATAAACACATTCTGCTGCAAAAAAAACATCCTAGTTTATTTCCTTATTCAAAGGGGAATCATAAATTGAGAGTGAAACACATTTATCTGACATTATTTCTGTTTTACTGTAACCTTGCCCTTTTATGGTGCTTGCAGGGGCTGAGTTTACAGAAGAAATGTAGGCCTGGCATTTTGGAATCCCCGTGGATTCCTATAACAGCACACGCCACAACATTCGGAAGAGATTCATGCATGGGTTAGAGGTAAAATAAAACCTAATAACTATTACTTCCATAATCTTAACAGGCTACCACTGTATACCAGCAAGGAATTTTTAGTTTTCCTGCAATTTGATCACCTTTTTGCTTCACCTTATTTGATGAAAGTATGAACTACTTTAACACAGTCTTAAAGCACTTCCGTTCTCCTGCCATGACTTCACTGCTCTTTTACCATGGCAGACCGCAGTGAAGTTTGATTCAGGACACAATCCTCCTACTCTTTTTAATTGACCAATTTATTTTCTATCAGGTGAACTCATGCAGACTATTTCTGGTCCTTCTGCAAATTCTTGCTCTTTGTGGAAGATCTCCGGACACTGTCACTGCAGCACAGTGTGTCCTAATAGGCCTTCTCTCACCTGCCCCAGTGCACAGCCAAATTCTGCCCAATGGACATGAGCAGGTTCTGGGGTCCGTGGTCCCAGATGCACTCCTCTGCCCAAGCAGTGGCAGAGCGCTCCAGCTCTTCGTCCCACACCTGCAGAGACAGCAAACTCTCAGGCACCCCGAAGTACATGATTCAAAATGTTTAAAAATAAGCAAGGATTCTACATCACAAACCAAGACCACCTTTTGTGTACACAGAACCTCTACTACATGAAGGTACCAAAGCTAAATATGATATAGGTTGCTTTTCCTGAAAACCTATGAACCTGGACTAACCTGCCCAATTAAGTACCTACAGTAGAATGATTTCAGAATTCTGCTTTCACTCTTAAATCGGAAAAAGATGTTTCAACAATGCCGAACGGAGTTAACAAATGGAAACAGCAGCTTGTGTCCGATGAAAGCCAAGGAAAGTGAGAGCAGCACACTTTTTCTTCCAATACGAGGCTGTGGCCATCAGCGATGATCTTTCCGTTGATGGCTGAGTGTTAACAGGATTTTTCTTTTCTTCTCTAAAAGGAGAATTGTGTCTGGTATGAGTCCTGGTTTTGCTGCAGTTCTGTGAAAAGACACTCCATTCTTAACTTGCAATGGAGGCTGAAAGCCCAGGTGAGCATTTTTAGTACTCCAGTACTCCTGTGTGATTCGTCCCGGTAAATTTCCAGGGTCTTGGTGGTCCGCAGCTCAATCCGCTCCTTCAGGCAGCAGATGTTGTTCCTGCACAGTGCGCGCCCCCTCAATAAAACCCTGCTTGTTCACCCAGGCCTGGCAGGAGAGGCCTGGCTGGGCTGGCAGTGATTTTCCACCCACACACACCCACACTGACCGCTCTCCTCTATGCACACCCCTTTCAAAATGAAACGCCATGTCTCTATCCTCCCTCTGCAATGACTTTACTAACACAGAGAGCACAAAGCACAAAAAACAGAGCTAAAGCCTCTTCAGGGCATTTTCAAAGCGAAAACCTCTTCATTTTCCACCAACTGAATGGAAAAGTATAAATTGGAAAAAAAAGCAGTGGCGTTTGGCAAGGTTCTGGGGATGTTCTTGACAACGAAGGCTTGACAGCTTTAAAGCACCTTTTGTAACGCATTTACCCATTGTTACTTCTGAATAATGGTAGTGACATTTCAAATGACAGCTTATTGGTTTCTCAAAGGCGTCTGGTATTAAAGCTTTCCTTGTTGTTTTTTTGGGTGTTAGTGCATGTAACAGTACAATCAATAGCTCTCAGGTACAACCATCCGTTTTGTGCAGCTGTGTTAATAAACCAATCTGCAGCAGCAGGGCAAAAAAAAAATATTGGACTGGCAACCTTTTTTCTCAAGCTTATGTAATGTTAATAAGTCACCCTTACTGTATGAACGTACTCAGTTCACAAAATGGGCTACATTTGGGAATTGTAAATAGAGTGACTCTGCAGGACCTATGAAAATGCTTTTATCTCTATCAAGCACCACCTCAGCTTTGCCTTCCTCTCTCACTTCATCGTCAGCTCTCACTTCTCATCGGTTCAAGGCAATTCCAGTGTCTGTGTCTTGCATTCTCTATCTTAGGCATTTTGATAAGACTGTGGTATACAGCATGGCCGAAGTGTAATGCGCTGACTAGGGGAGAAGGGTGGAATCATGGTAAAAGTGTGTCAAAGAAGGTTCAGATCCACAGCCAGCAATGACAGAACACAGCAAATGCATGTTTAAAGCACACATTTGGAATTGCACCAGGAAATTGGAATTTACACTGCACAGAGCAGGGACTTGTTCGCACGCTGAGAAATGGGAGGTAACGGGCTGAAGGATGTGTGCTCTCATCTCTCACCATGTACTCCATGTCGGAGGCTGAAGGCTGCACCTGTCCTCTCAGCTTGTTGTGCAGCTGCAGGATCTCCTCCCGGTCGGACCACTGGATGGCGCGCCGGGCTCTGCTGAGCACCCCGTTCCCCGTGCGGTTGTGCAGCTCGGGCTCCTGGTAGCGGCTCAGCAGCTGCTGCAGCTCTGGGGAGTCGGGCAAGAACAGGGCAATGCCATCTCGGGCTGCGAGCATCAGAAGGGCCAGACTACAAAGCCAGGGCACAGCAGCACTCATCTCCCAAACCAGTCTGCAGCTCTGTCACAGGACGTTAATTTCTCCCTCTTTCCTTCTGAAGAGTACAGTGGATGCTCTGTGTCCGCTCTCCTCGACAGCTCTGTGTACACAATCTGAAAGAAACCATATCCTGTAAGCTTTGGGGCTGACCAAGTGAAGCTAACACGCCTGGACAGACAGGCTAAGGGAGCAAATGAACACAACCTTGCCAGCAAACATTCAGAACAGCAAACATAGCTGGAGATCGCTGCCCCTGCTCTCTCCCGCCCTCTCTTTCCAGTTCTCAAAGAAGCATGTTATTGTAAAAGTGTTAAACACACCCAGCAAGCCGGCTTTACATTAAATTATACAGAAGCTCTGTATCATTTAAGCTCTTGTGAAGATTTGATGCAAAACTGGGCAATTGTGAAACGAATAAGAAAACATCAACCGAGCTTATAACTTGCGTAGGCATCGCAGATACAGAAAAAATCAGTAAACGTTCAAATAAAGTATTCAGTTTCCTACAACAGGCCAGTAATTCAGTGATCTGTGCTCATGGTAATAATGATGCTTTGGCGTTTCTCAAGGAAACAGGTCTTCATTCAATAATACAATACTAGACAGTGAATAATTTTAGCACTAGCCACTAGAGGGCTGTCCTGGGAACACTGACACCTCCTAGCATTTGTCTGGGATGCACTATGAAATGAAAATCACCTACTATACAGGTATATAGGTACTGTATGTAGGCGTTCTGTAGGGGTCATTGTCTTTTCCCTTAATACTGGCAGTATGCTTTCTCAACACAATGTGCTCTCCTATTGTAGTAGTAAGCATTTAGCTCTCTGTATATAATAATTTGGGATGGGGAATAAAGGGCATCCATTATGACGCAGCTGCCCTGATATTTCACGATGATGTGAAGCTATTGTCAAGCAACTTGAAGTAAAAGTGGCTGGTGAAGAGATGAGCCACCCTCTGTTCCTCCGCTTGAGGACTGTTTCTGACCCCAATTCCAACTGCTTCTGCATTCTCATGCAACAGGAGCAGAACATTTGTGTTGGCAAGCCCCCAGATGTCTTCCGCAGTGGAGAGAATACCCTGGAGCAGGAACAGAACTGCATAGCATGGAAGAGGGGGAAGTCATGCTGACATGCTAGGGCTTTAAAAATCCAACCCCAAGCATTTACAAGATCATTCTGGCCCCGAGGTCTGCAAAATCCATAGGAAGGATGTTGATATTGCTCTTTTGACATTATACAGAACACATTTTAAGGCAGTTCCTTTTGCGCATAAAGAAAGAAATCCGAGCACATGGAGCTTTTTTTGTCCATAAAGCATCTATTACTCCATGATCGTATTCCTAACATGATTCGAGTGGCCCTCAAATAACACTTTTAAGATTGGGCATTGCTTTAATTTATGTGCTGCGCTCAACAATGAACTACACAGTGCAGTTAAGAGCTCCACTTTTTCTCTCTTTTTGCTGAAAAGCTCCTCCACAGCAGCTTGTTTTAGCTCATTAAGGCTGCCATCTTACTGACCTCATTTTTACAGACAAAAAAATGCTGACCTAGAAAACAAAACTCCAAAAAAGGAAAGAGTAAGGAAAAGATCAAGAGGGAGAGAGAGAGACACCACCCTCGGCATCAACCTGGAAAAAGTGTCTCACCACCTTTTCTCCCCGAATTGGCGAAGCCGGGAGTCTTGAGCACACAGACTAGCAGCCGAGCTCCAGGCCTGCGCTGAGCGGACGCAGCACATTTGTGCCGAGACGTCAGACAGCACCACTACTAAATCAGCGTGTCAGACAGCGAGTAAGTGCATGACGTGAGCTCACTCCAAGCAATCTTCTGGGAACCACTCGAGATTTAAAAACCCAAACCGTCGCCAAAAAAACCTCCTGGTGCCAGAGGCTTCCCGTCACGTGGAAGAGAGACGTCAGGCCTGCTCTTGCACAATCTCAGGGGAGGAGGAAAAGGCTGCTGGAGTCCCACACCTTTTATTTTTCCCACTTTAGGACAAATTCTGCTCTGGGGGTAACAAAAGCAGTCAAAATTCACACCTCGCACCCGCCCTACAGAGTCAGAAATGGAGGCCCCACCTTTCACCAAACCTGCTTCTCTGCCATGGTAGCCCAAGGATCGGTCACTCTGTTGCTCATGACCCCCTGCGCACACACTGTACAGCCCAGGGAGAGGAGCTGGGATCTCTAAGAGCATGGATTTACAGGCTGGAAAACTTCATTTAAAAAGCCTGTGTCTGAATGATGGAAATGAATAGATGGATTGGTTGATCCAATCTGCCAAAAGCATACTACAAGATAATACAGAACAGTGGCAATGCCCAAGACATTTTCAGGTGTTTCACTCCATAAACCGGAATGTGCAGGTTGTCAGACACAGAACAACAACATTTTGTAATTATTTTGGCAGACTTCTTAGACTGCAGGTCCCACTAGTCTATAAGCCTTTGGACTTAGAATCCCACCCCATGCATGAAAGAAACCTCACCAAGCTCCCCTTGGCAGCATCAAAATATTACCCACAGTTTGCACAGCCAAAGAAAGTATACACATTAAGCCCAACCATCTCATTTTCTTGTCTGCTCAGATATCTCCACAAAGAGCGATTGAAGCCTAGTATTTGTACAACAAGATAAACATAGCAAATATAAAACCTGCTTCAGAAATGACACGCAAGGCAATTTCAGAAAGATGTAACCTTTGTGGGTCTACTTTCAATCCAAGGTAAATCAAAACTTTATGCACTGTTAACACTTTCCAACAAAGTTCCCTATAACCGTTTCTGCCTAAAAGCAAAACGTCTACATCACTGAATCTTTCTTTACAATTAGACAATACATTGCTATTTGTCCCTAGAAAAATAGATTAATCTTCGTTGATTTTTTATACATGGCGCATCTTTAAGATCACCCTAGTTTTCTTCACAGAACTAAATACTTTTTTTAAATGAATCCCTCAATAAATAAGTAATAAATCACTAGTACACCCAAACACTACTGCCCTCCTTACGCTTAAAAGCAACGCTAGGATCCTGCACCTTTGAGTGCTTTTAATTGCTGGATAAACGTTATAACAAAGGTTATTTTACATTCACTGCGTTTTCATTTTCATGCACAGCGTCACTTCAAACCTGAAGAAACTTCTATAAACATTATGGTTGACGCCGATTCCTCGTTTAGTGTAACTAGAGAGGGACTTTGCGTAATGCACTGCAGTAATTTTATTCCAATTTTTTTTAGCAATAATCCCTCGTTTAACGTCAAATAGTAGAATTTGTAAAGAGATACATGCGAATAATAACACCTAATGAAACATAAAAAGTAGAGCAGCAACTTCTTACCGCACGCAGCACAGTACAGGCACCCTGCAATTATCAGAAGTCTTCCCACGGTACTTCAACAGTCAGCAATTTGCTTTTTACGGGTTTTCAATCCCTTTCAAGAAGAGTCTGGCTTCTTGGCTGCCGGCTTGTATTTGAAGTCGTGGTGTTTTTTGGTGACTGTTCACTATCCCGGTGAAAGCTGAACAGTTCCTTTTATAGGAGACCCTAGAAGGAGAGAAGGAGGGAGGGAGAGGGGAAAAAAAGTCAGTCGTGCCCCTTGTCAGCCCTCCCCCTTCTCCTGAGAAGTCAATGTTCCTGGCAGACATCAGGCACTGACTAAAAGGATGTAGAGAGGACAACGCAATCAAAGAACGAGACGTGCTTGTCACTTAGCCATCAATATGCGTATTAACTGCAATTGTGTTAAATAAACGATCATAATTCTAATTGAATAAAAATACTTCTACTGTCAGCTAACATCCATTTATTTAATGTTTTTTTTTAACATTTCCAATACTTAGAATAACTTGGAAATATATTTACAGTATCTCACGTATATCAGTTTCTTCTTTTGATGTAATCTGATCATCTGTTACTTATGGAACCGTAAGCTAATAGGAAAAGAGCGCACACAAAATGAGTGATACTTTTATATAACGTCGTTCACATCGACACCTCAAAAGGCTTTACAGTGGAGGAGACCTACAGTACAGTATATAGGTAGAAATAACATGTTAAGACACGGAAAACACCAGCGTTTATGCCTTAAAAGTCAAGAAATGCTAGATTGAAGAAATGTTTTTAAACGACTTTTGAGGACAGAGACGGGGCATTTCGTATAGCTGTACTGTGTTGCACAGTTCAGACATTACTGGAAAAAAACACATCGCACATAGTATAGCGATTTGACAACACGGGAACACACAGCAACCCGAGTTTTAAAGTTTTAGGGGTAGGAGAGAACAACTGTTTGAAGCAGGAAAGCGCCCGATTGTTTAGCGTATTGTAGGTCAAGAGAAGAATTTTGAAGCCTAAACATGTTACTGTAACACTGGGAACCAGCGCAGGGAGACAAAAACAGGAATAACATCCATGTATTCTCACACTAGTTCCTTTTCATTTCAGAAGAAAATGCGAGTTTAAGAAAACAAAGGCTAAAAACGGCCATAAATCAGTGAGCAGAGCAGTGAAGATCACAGAGTCAACCAATGTGCTAACTATTCAGTGATTTCTGACAAAAGTACATTTACATATTTTCTGGTTGATTATGAAACAAATGAAAAAAATAGTAAAACATTTTACCTCAGGGGAATCGTTCAGACACATCTTCAGCACTTCTAGAGCAGGCATGTAAAAGAACACCCACAAAGTCATTTAACCCTGATGATCTTCGTCTAATGTTATTTCAATGAAAAATAGTTTATCGCTAGGGCTTAGTGTTTAAATAACTACAAACTGTCTCCACTCTCATAAACACAAGATGAAAATAAAACTAATCTTAAGATCTCTTCACTTATTCAAAACGTTTCATATATGGTGATGAAACTTGGTGAGCATAACAGAAGAGTAGAGACTGCAGAACCAGCTGTTAGCTTAACTGTACAGTATCACTGCTGGATGATTGACTCTTACAGAATCAATCTGTCCGTTTTGACTGTGTTACACCAAAACAGCTGGATTGTAAGCATTTCCTGATGTACCTTTTCCTAATGGTTACATTCTGATTTTTCTGTAAGATATATGAACACAATAAGGGAAACCTGTGGCTTTCTAAAACAACGGCAATCCATCTAAAAGTGCACAAATTTAAAGATAACTTGTGACCAAGACCCGTTCCTTTGCCAAATATCATAACAGAGGGCCAAAACACGTCCTTAGAAAACACAGCATAGCATTTTATTTATATCATCTTGCATTTATATAGTGTATCTCAGACCGAAGGATTAAGAAAGTGCTTTAAACACAAAGGAGATGACCCACTTCATCAACAACTGAAGGTGTTTGCCATTATTTGCCAGCTGGCCCAATACAAGGGGAGCTCAGGCAGTCAAGTAGGAAGTTACTTTGCCAATTGAGGTAAAGGAGAAAATGTAGAGATCCCAGACAGTGCTAGCCTACAGAGGAATTCAGTTAAGACACTGGGTTTAACATCCCTCCTCTTACAAACAGTGCTATGGAACATTTAACTTTATATTTATAAATCAGGAACCCTGATTAACCAACATTCAGAGAACAGTTTTGGCATTGTTTGTTCATTCTGGGGTCTGACAAGATCAGGCTACAGGAGTTTAACATGGCTGGACGACTTCTGTGAATCAATGTATTTACGCGCCATGACACATGACCTCAGCACAGGAAACATCTGTCGCTGTTGTTGTATTAGATTTAACATCAGCGTCTTGGTCTACCAGAACTGCAGTCCAGAACGGCAACATGCTGCACTTGCTGAAAGCCATGTTTTTTAATCCAGGATTTACAGCACACTACAAGGTAACTTAACCTTTAGGCTTGACTTTTGGGCAGTACGTGAATTGTAGTCTAAGATGTCAGGTAGCTGGGGATCCCCTTGAGTTAATCAACAGGGTCCTCACAAGTACTCAGAACGTTTTAAAACTCGGCAAAGGGTTTTACACAAATAAATGTGGGTTTCACCATTTGGAAAAAAAAAATGCAGTTTACTAAATGTTTTACAGTGCACTGAGAAATGAAGGACCTGGTGATTGACCTCAGCCATTATGTGCCACAGACCATCACTTACTGTACAACTCATTACATATTTTTATTTATGCATTGATGTAGCCAACATTCATTTTAAGGAACTTCGAAGTACCCTACTTTAATGAAATAGGTAATAGCTAGTCTGTTTAGTAGCCCAAAGTGAAAGAGATGGAAACCTCATCATAAACATTTTTAGTATCCACCAATCAGCCTCCTGTGATGAAGATCCCTTAACACAAGTTCCAGATGTATGCTATCATCAGTGTAGTCTAACATTGGCCTAGCAAAACCATGAAAACAGTTCAGAGAAGAAGATACTTTAATTAGCAAGATGATTGATGCAGTAACCAAATGCACAGGATGCATTAACTTGCCATTATAATCAGAACATTTTACGATTATATGCCATGTGAAAATTACCATAGAGTAGCTTCCAAGGGTGAATGGGAATTGAAAAGCAAAGTAACCATGATGCCTGTGAGAAGATTTGCTGTGGATAAGAACTGGAGAAACTAAGTCAGCCAGTTAACTTTGTCATCTATGTGACTCACTGGTTTCTGAAAAAAAATGAGTAGAGGACATCAATACATTAAAAACTGATTACAGTTCTTTCAGTAACAGCTTCTTGCATTATCACAGTTTACTTTGGATTCTTTCCCAAATTCTAACATAAACCATGTCCTGTGCTATCAGCCTGTAGATCTCAGCTAAATGAAACATTCTAATTAAAAGGCAATTGAAATTTACAATAAAAAATACAATTTAAAAGCCTTTCCTTAATGGAAAAGTGATCTAAAAATACGGTACAAATTTCAGAATACATTTTTACTGCCATCCCAGCAGAGCAAGCAAACATGGTAAGTGACAATACCCAACAGTTCTTATGTTCAATTTCAAGAACAAGGCACGTTCTGTGTGGAGTTCACATGTTCTCTCCACATGCTGACATGAGCTTCTGCTGTGTGCTCCAGCTTGCACTTAGGATAACATCTACGTCATCCTTGTGTCCGTATGTGTGCTGCAATGCACTGGTATCCCATTCAGGATGTAATTCTGCCTTACATCTTGTACTTTTGGGAGACGATTGGTACTGCTGTGATGCATTTACCAGGAACAAGAAGCTTTCTGATAAATGAGCCACTTTAAGTACAACTTTAATGAGGTTTCGACACAAAGACATTTGATCCTGAACAAAATGGTACATCAACAAGGCAAATCTGGCATTTCTGAAACAGTACTGACACAAAGAGTGCCATTTCTCCACGTCTACCCCGAATTTAAATGCTAGTTCAGCTTCTGTTTCTATTTTTATTGAACTGACTCAGTAAGAAATTAAATTTTGGCAGAACATGGCAAATCACAGGGACTACATAACATTAAAAATACAAGCTTCAGAAATCAGCTTGGTAAGGCGGTGGTTTTGTTTGCCAGCAGAGGGCGCTGTTCTCCAGAGACAAGCCACTCAGAATAATCGGGAAGAGACCACTACAGGACTGGGTTTTAGGTCAGATAAACAACACTGTTAGCAAAGATGAGGTCCAATACTTTAATGATATGCAGTCCAGTTCAATAAACGATGTGAACTGGCATTGAAATGATTTTTTATAGTTTTATACCAGTCTACCAAATAAAACAGAAACGGCTATTTTTACACAATGTCGGTTTCTATCCAACATTGAATTTACAAGTTAGGAATTAGATGTTTAGTTTAGGACTATGGATGAAACTATCTTCAATTATAAGTTGAAAACAAAGAGAATCTCTCTTGTTAATCCTTACCAAAACCATATCTGATAATCCTTATTGAAATATTTACTTGCAAATTTTAGTACCGTAGTCCAGCAACCTCAGGCTCCAGTACTAATAAAGACTGAATCAGACCACATTTATTCTGATAAGCATTGTGGTCCCTTTCAAGGAAGGTCAGTGATGCCCGTCTTTTTTTTTTTTGCTGAAGCCTGGATCTCACCCTGGGCTACAGGTCTGAAGGTTGAATTTTTCCCCGAAGAACCCGAAATCAAGGAAAGTGCCTGGAATTAACACTTATGGAGATAACAGAAATAAAAAAAAACAAAATGGGATGTATTATGGGCTGGGCTTTAGCCTAGTTTGTCTGAATTTGCTTGAAGGGTTTCATGAACGCAAGGGATTCACAGATTCATTGCAACAGTAAGAAAAGTCGTGCACACTCCGTCAGACTGGGGTCCCAACTGCCTTCACTCTGGCACCTCCCAGAACCCAGAACCCCCTCCTGCTGCAGGACCATCCAGCACAGCTGGAAATCCTGGGACATCGGCAAGCAAGTCCCATCTGACACCAATTTCCGGCTGCACACGTTCTGACAAGGAATCGGGTAGGAGCAATTCAAGCTTGTTTTGCAACACAGTAGATAAATACCTTTCGAACAAAGCAGTCAACCCAACATTGTGGAAGACGCAAGAGTCTGATGGCGAGGGGGAGAGATCTATACGAATACAAACCACACACCAACTAAGTACATGTTTT